AATATGATATCCAGATAAATGGATAAATTGGAAGGGGTCTCAATGGCAACCCCTTTTCCAGGGGATTTCTTGCTAGAGCTCCCATTGCCTTCTCAAGGTCTTCAAGAGGTTGGAGGGGGATCACCAGGGCTCTGGTTAGGCCACAGCCTGCTGTGCAGAATAGTAAAATGTTTCTCTCTGCCTTCTCCTGCTTTGCCTTGGGCCTATCCTCTGTGTGGAAGCTAGGGAAAAGTCAAAAAAGGGCGATATTGGACTCAACTAGTGTAACCAAGCCAGGAACTGTGCTGGCATTTAATCCGTAAAATTCAAAATGAAATAATTTCATTGACTAAGAGTCTCCAAGGCTGAGGAAGAGATCRGAATATTGGGCCCTTTGGCTTTTTTGATTTAGCGGTGCATTTCTCAAACTTRCGTCCCGATTTAGCTTCATTTTACAGATGCTCTTCATGGAACTGAGTGCAAACCTCAAAGGCTCCYGAGCCCGCCAGTCCCTTCTCATCACTTTTGATGCAGTTTCTGTGGAAACTAATGCTAAAAATAACCATGCTGATCTAGCCTGGCACCTGCCATATTCTTCTCTAAATGTAACTGTTGGGTATTCTCGTGCCTATGAACTTCTGGAAACAGACCCTACCAGCACCATGCCCATTCCTGCAGCCTCTGAGTCCTAGCCAGGGCTACCCTTAGTAGCAAGACTGGGTTTATTGCTTGGACCCTGTCTTGAAAGGACCTTGTACATCACAGTCRCTGCTGAGAACACAGGGTAACTTGGCCCTCAGCTCTGAATCTTTGCCATTTTAATGGCCTTCGCCCTGTTCTTGTGCTTTGGATCCACACTTATACATAGAGCTTCTTTTTGTCCCCTCCTCTGTTTTCAGACAGGGACCTCCCCTTTGCTGGTCAGTTCAGGTACTACCCAAGAGAAACAGTCAGTTTAAGGGCAGGCTGTTTACCTGGTGTAAACCTAGGTTGTTCCAGAAACACGATGAGGGCTTTGTGCTGCTGGAGAGCTCACACACAGTGCTGGCCCCTTGGAACTAGAGCAAAGGGATCCTGAGGTTCAGTTTTTCACGAATCCTGTATGTGAGAACTGCACAATTTTGATCTGAAAACTTTCCAGCATTTTTGCTCTGTTCAGGCTGGRAAGTGGCATGGCACCAGACACGATGCTATTTTCTTTAGCTCGCTGTTGTGTGCCCTTTACAGCTGGCCCACTCTTGCTTCTTTGCTTGACACAGGAGCAGGCAGGGATCTCAAAGAGGCCATTAATGTCACCCAAACCCAGCTGGCTGACCCAGCTGAAGAGCTGGTCCATGCAGGAGAACAGCAAACACCTCCTCCTTTCCCCCTAAAGCTTCCAGGTCATAGGTGCCTCTTCATGGTAGGAAGCATGTGCCAAGCTGGCCCAGAGAGCCGTGGGTGCTGCAGGATAAATATTCTCTAGATAGTGTAAAGCTTAAGAACCAAAACTTGAGGATCAACTTCCTGTTTTAGCAGCAGCGTTCTGGGAAGCAGCTGAAACACTTGGTGCTCCTAGAGCCAGGGTGCTCCTAAAGCCATCAACTGCTTTGATCTGAAAATTGTGTCTAGGAGAAGGAACTTGGAGTAAACTTGTGTTTAGAAAGGAAGTACAACCGAGCATTTCAAAAACATAGTAAAGGAAGTACAACTTTCTCAATCTGTAAAAAGAGAAAGAAGAACTGCAGAAGTAGGAAATTGCAGAAGCACGTTCCAGGATTGACATGCATAGTGCAGGGATTCACCCCAGAGCAAGGGAGAGCTCCAAAGAAACCACATCGTATTGAATGCAAGGCTAAACTTAGATGCTTGCTAAAGCAAATCAGGATGCAAACATTAAAAATAGCTGCTGTGGCTGCAGAAAGTGAGGGAGAATTAGACTGGAAGCCACCAGAGGAAGATGAGTTGAGGGATAATATGATACATGGGAAAAGAGAAAGGAATTGGGAAGCACAGTATATACAAAACTAGTAGATTACTATCCCAAGGGCAGGGAGGTGTGGCAGGTCAAAGTATTGTTGCTGCTGTAATGCAAGAAATGACCCTGCAGGGTTTGAGATAAGTAACCTGGAGCCTGCACTCCACAGATGTGTTATGTCAAATTGTCTATTGGTTAGGTAAGGAAAAAAAATGGTGTCACTGACGTTAATCCGTAAGCCAAGAGAAGATGTGGAGTGTTCTGTGAATGAAGGCAGAGCTGCTCACACATTGGCAGGACATTTATCAAGTGCCAGGCGCTGTTTCCTGGTGGAGGTGGCTCTCCTGGCAGCAAGGACATGGATCAGGTTCCCTGAAGGGGAGTGAATTATGAGAACTCGCTGCCCAAACGCACAGCTGCTATTCACAGCCAATGCTCATACAGCAGAACAAGGGGGAGTCCAACTGCAACAAACTAGTGGAACAGGATGAAATAATAAATTGAGTGTTACAAAAACAGGATTCTCAGGAAAACAAAAGGGGGTAAGTTCTTGTGTGGGCAGAGCAGGACCCGTGTCTTACAGTAACTGGAGACATCAGTGGCAGAGGGAAGTGGCTGAGGTAGAGGAATAAGGGGAAGAGCTGCAGGAAGCAGTAGCCACAGGCAGTAAGTCAGGAGAAATGGTCCAAACCCACAGCAGGGCATGGAGAGTGTTAAACAACTGCTAAATACATTGGGTCCTAGGGAGGAACTCAACTTCTTAGCACAAAACAGAAACATGCACTGTCCTCCTGGACACTGGAGCATCAACCAGGGTGTCTATAGACCTAAGAAAATACAAGACAAAGCAGTTAGGGTTAGCACCGTTTTCTCTGCGACCTAGAGTGCTTGGCCTGGAATGAAGAGTAAAGCATTTAATTGCATCAACAAGGGTGCAASTTTTAAGCATAGAATGACCCAACTACAACTGCTGCCTTCCTGAAGCAAGGATGGAAAACAAAATATCTTGACAAGTAGAGTGCTACAGGGTACAGACAAGTTTAGTTTTAACTGGATTTAATTTTAATCTTGAGAAAAAAAGGTACATCCATTTGCCAATCTCTAAAAGTCGGGATGCAATCCTATCATGCATCTTTCTCATAAATAATTTAAATATTCAGGTTAATATTTAATGGTAACTGAGTAGCAAAAACTGGCCCCTCGCTTTGCGACAACTCTGCTTTAGCTTGTACAACAAACCTGCACAGCGCCTCATCTTCTCTGATGGTTCTTGGGCCATCAAGATAAATGATAAATCAGCCAGGGAGTCTTTTTGTTTTTCCCTTTCCCCTGAGCAAGGCACCAAGCAGCTCAGTCCTGCCAGGAGGAAKGTGATGTCAAAGGCAAAGGTTTCCCAGTGCTATGTGGGTGTCCAGTGTAGACAAGAGCAGCTGCTTGCTGTGCACATGCTGCTTTGGGCTTCATCTCAGCTGCAGGCCTAGCAGCAGCAAAGCTGGCTGCATTCAGCACCAGTCCCTCCCTGTGCCAAGGGAAACAAGTCTTATCCTGGTCACACAGAAGGGGACATGCAGCTGTATCTGTGAGGGTGCCAGAGCCCTGGCCCAGGCTGCCCAGGGAGGCTGTGGAGTCTCCTTCTCTGGAGATCTTCCAAAGGCGCCTGGATGCYGCCCTGTGCCCCGTGCTCTGGGTGTCCCTGCTGGAGCAGGGGGCTGTATCTGTGGCTAGTCCCAAAACATCAGTGAAGCTTGTTCTGATCTAATCCATGTCTGCTTGTGGACACAAGCACCACATTGCAGCTACAAGCCATCCTAGTGACCAACCTGGCTACTCACAATGACCAAGTGCTGTAGGGCTGGAGTTCCAGGTCACAAATACATAAATACAGGAATGTAACCCTTAAGAACACTGTCAGTTAAAAGATGCTTTATGTCTATCAGACAACCTTCAATCTCAAAAAGTTATGGGGCTGAGGAATTTAACCGAGTCTTAGAAGGATTTTTTATGTAATAAGAAAAAAAAATGAGTGATTTTAGATTTGGGATGAAGTATGTATTCTAAACCAGTGTGCAAATTCTGCCTTTTTCAAGGCAGAAAGCCTCTGGCTTGAASACAGAAAAACAGGGCAAAGGGCAACCACACACTTAGTGCTAGAAGGGAGGTTATAGAGAAGGGTTGTCTACAACGTCACATCGCTCAAGCCCTTGCTCAAGGGACAATAAACTTCCATCAGGTGACAAAGACCCATTTGATACAGGTCTAGTTCTAAAAATTAACCTAATAGAATTACCGAGAGGTGAAAATATTGGTCTCTGTGATAGTATTTGTACAAGGTTATCTTAGTTCTCCAAGATCAAATTACCTGTGCTATTTTATCTTGGCTGCCTATCATTCCATTAGGAAAACAACATTTGAGAGGGCTGAGTAGTTTTGATTCTTCTCCCTCATCTGCCAATGTAGTGAGAGCCCTACCTTCAATTACAGAGTAATCAAACTTCTCTCTATCCATCTTTTCTCAACCATATATAGTGATATAAAAACAAAAATTACAAATCATGTGACAACTACCAATCCAGAGGAGGACAATAGGTAAGAACTGTTGAAAGATGAATGATAATTTAAGGCTTAAAGCTTGTACTTGAAACAGAGTTCATGCAGTCAATGAGGTGAAAAAGGAGCTGGCAGAACACCTTAAAATAATGTCTTAAGYATCTTGGTTATAATCTTGAAACCTCAATAAAAGCTTCAGTTGTAGTAATCACACCCCCTTCTCTAAAAATAAGATATTCAGAATGAAAATTCAGACAGTTAAGCAGCAAAATCCCTCTCTAGCATGGGCTATCAGAAAGAAACCCAGAACAGCATTGAGCAGATGGAGTCTACAAGAGCATTTAGCCACCTCTACAGAAACCCAAGGCATTGGTGTAAACATCCTTCTGCTTTACAGAAAGCTTTAGCTATGACCAGRTCTCACTAGTAGAATGAGTTGTCCCCCAGAAGCTACCACACTTGCTTCTGTCACAGCAGTCAGCACTTCAGGCACATTCTTTCAGCAGCAGACATTTTATTATGCCCTTTGTCTCAAAAGTTCACTCTCAACATCAGTATCTGACACACTAAGCAGTGTTACATACACACTGTTATGCCTATTTTTAAATCACAAACAGTCTAAGAATCAGAAATTGACTGAAGAGCAGCTTGTTTAGAGGATCTACCCAAACAYTCATTTTTGGACAATCCACAGTAAGTTGGCTATCTCAGTAAAGAGACCTGCACAAGAAGAACCAAGTATTGCTCCCCATAAGTATTAACAAAGAGAACAGTGTCAACTAAGAATTTGTCACATTCAGACATCTCTAGTGGTATGCCTTCATATACAACCACTGCCCATGCACCTCAAAGGATTTTACAGAAGCCCAAAGCAAGCTGGGGTATATTTACACCGAGCTCTACAGAACTTGAGTCAACTTGGGACAATACTTTCAAGGGCATTTACTGTACACATGATTGATTTAGTAAATTGTGACTTTATAGCRACACTGTAAGCTCTTTTCTTGTTTGGAGACTGCCCCAAGCCATTACCCAGTACCAATGCATTCAATACAGAAATAAGACCCTTTCAGACTTGTCAGTAGGTTTTTGCTACAGCAGTAGAAGAGTTCTACAAACATCTGATAGCTGCAACTGACAGATCTGTAAGTTTTACTGATTGCTTTCATAAGATATCACTCCTAAAGCTCAACTGTATTTTCAGTGGTATTTCCCACATCCTAGTTGGATTTACATACTAGTTYTCAAACAAGGCTTGCTGCAGCTTACTTAGTTCTAACAATAAACCAAATGCAGGTGCTCTCCTAACCCATACCTTCTATGACAATAGCTTAAGAACCCTCTCGAAGGGGTCAGCATAGAGATAATCTTAACATTCYGCTCTTCAAAACTGTCATAAAAAGCTGCACAACTTTCAAAGGCTTAATATCTTGAGATAATAAATGCTTCAACTAGGATAGCCAAGATCTTGTGTCAAACCATAGTACAGAAGTTGGTCCAAAGTGTCATCAATTACTGAAATAAATCTTAGTGAATCCAGATGGTTGGCAGTGTGATGAAGCAGAAGCAGTGGAGCATCTCCTTGTTTTTATATTCTTCTTGGATATATTCCTGAGCTTAGAGAAGTCTTGTTTATTTGGTTGTGCAAGTTGGTATCCTTGTACACAAACCAAACATTTCCTCCCCACAGGACCATATTAAGCAAACCAAACATCTGCAGGTTAAAGAGAAGAAAAAACATAGTGAAAAGTTTAGAGATCACAAAACAAGACAGAAGCAGCAGTCATCCTTGGCATCCCTTTGATTTTGGTACAAGACACTTAATTCTAAGGCATGTTACAAGTAATTTCAGCAAACTTCACAGGTTTGCTAATCAACTTTTTCTAGTTCAATGCAAAGAACAGAATGAGTCAGCTCCGCAGAAGCACATTCAGACCACATATCACTGCTGAGCTAATGAACAGTCAGTTTTGAAAAAGCATGATATATTGAGAATTGTGCAGGGAGTGCCTCATTTTCTCTTTTTTTCCTTTTTCCAGAGCAGGACAAAAGAGAGTTCTATGAACATTAGCACTCTATACCAATCACAACATTATAAAGAAGCTGTGTGAGGTGCAGGAAGTTCTCACAATAGATAAAAAAGCCAGGTCTGACACAAATAGACAATAGCCAATGTAGTTTCTTACTTGCACCACTCAAGCCATTTCAATGGCCTTGTCCAGTAAAATATTCTAAGTTCCTAGCTCCAGACAGAACCCAGGAATTTGTGTGTCTGTAAATGACAGATTTAGCAGTTCTGGAAACAGATCCTTCTTCACAGGAATGAACGTTCTCTTCAAAAAGTGTTTGTTATTTTGGCCAGCRATACAGTGCAGTATTAGTGGGCCTGAATGACTAGTACCCACAAAATCTTAAGCAGCAATGCAAGGAGCAAGAAACAGGGCACTCTGCTGCCAGAGACTAATTCACACCATATGGGGCCAGTGAATGCATCATAAGATGTACCTACCACTGACACGTTCAGAGTTCCCATGTGGGTTACAGACTCAAGAACACAGCTTGTTCCTGGGGCTTTACAAGACTCAGCTTCCAGAATAATGCTGCCACCAGTGGAGATTTTGATGTCAGCAACCGCTTTGGCCCAAGCAGCGGTACTGACCAGCCACAGGAAGGCTGTTACCACAGTGACTATCAAGTCCTACAAGGAAGGAATATTCATGAGTAAGCCAAAAACCTGCATGAACGTGACAAGGAAAAGTCAAAGCCAGTACCAATTACTAGTCCAAAATAATCACATCAGTGCTAATAAACATAAACATTTTAGGTACTGATATTGTAATTACAACCCAAGGTATAATCTGTGTTGGTGATCAACTACAGAAAGCTGTCTGCCTTTTCTATCTATCAAGCATAAATAATTTTATCCTTGATAAGAAATTCCATTGTAAAACAAGTATCTAATACTTATGGCAGAAACTTTAAGTCAAAGTTGGACAAAGTAGGGATAGCAGAGGAGAAAGAATGCAGCGAATTTAAGTTTGGTTGGCTGGTATYGCTCAAATTGTGTATCAAGGGTCTCTAGGTCTGGTTCTAGGCATGCTCTAGAAGCTTTCTTGAAGATCCTGGTCAGGACTTTGGTATTTAAGATGTTCAAAACTGCAAGGCAGTTATTGCCCTTTACTCACTGCATTGCACAGCAGCTGTTCTACACAGCACATTCCTAGAGCCTAGCAGATGGGCTCCCCATCTGGAATAGCAGTATGTTCCTACACATGATCTAAAGAGTTGTAGAGAGGACACTGTTTACCTGGAGAGTTAGAACTTCATTCCACTCTTYGCTTCAAGAGCTGTCTGAACTCTGAGTTCTTGAACATCTATAGCATCTTAAAATCCCCTTTTCTACTCACGTCATAGGCACTAGTCTCAAAAATTTGCACTCATGCRCCTTCTTGCATTTCATGAGCTAGTTCATATACTCATATGAGCARTATTTCTCATCTCTTTGATGAAGAGAAGCCTTTAACATTTTAGTATTACTTACAGTCAGTGGAAACTTGCTGTTGCGCTGGTACACATGCATGTATCCAGTGTACACAACAAGGGCAGCAGTGCAGTAGAGGAATGCCAGCACTGCGAGCGTGACAAAAAACTGCGCAGAAGAGGCATAGTTGCCCACAAGATAGAAGTCAGTCCAAGTATCACCGCAGCGCATCGGGTCTGGTGCACTAAACACAACAGTATTTAACCTGGAAAGATTACATCCCTCATGTAGTTAGASTTTACCACAAGGTGGAAGTTCCATACAGTCATGCTTTACAAAAACAGTGCTTCAGCATTTAGGTTGTCTGAAGTTACTCTATAAAACCATACTTGACTCATACTACTAAGATGTGCCTATAATACTGTGTGAGGATCTCAGACTGATCTGCCTCTGACATCAAAAGGTCATAGCAACTTCAGTTATTCTAGACATAAGATCAAGATTTCTCTTGAAGAAAGAAAACTCAATTTGGAAACAGACCAAATTAAACTACTAAGTTCACAGGCAGGTAGTTAAATAAACTCRTGAAGGCTTGTAAGACACCAAATTACATCATTAGTTGAAAGCAAATGCAAGTACTGAATCCCCAATCACAGCAACCTCAACCCAGCCCTGCTGGCCAGTGAGCAGGTAGCACAGAAGTGTTTCAGATTGCTCCTCTCCTCCCCAAGTGCTGCTACAAGGCTCAGCTTCACAACCAAGCTCTGCACTTTTGCAGCAGCCTTTACTAGTTTGCATTTTAATCCTTTTCTGTTGTTACATCTGTGCTTCTCAACAGCTTATTGATTACAGAGCCGGAGCTTGCTTCAGCTGTGCATCTTCCAMATCAAAGAGAAACCTCCCTCTTAGCACTCAGGGAAGAGAAATCGGCCCATTTTTACACTTCTAGATCTTTTTACCTGCTTTTGCAGGTTTAAAAAAAAGCAAAAGAGTATTTGGTTACTGTGTACCCAGCCACTTTGTAAATCCAATAGCAAAATAATTTGCAAGAGCAAGTTTTTCCATCCGRTCTTTTCATAAAATTATTATACCAATGGCTCATTAGATTAAGTCACCAGTGCAACTAGCTTCATAAGTGAGGTTAAGATTTTAATTATTATTTTGCTTATTAAGCAATCATTTTCCATAACATCCATGCAGTGCTAGAACATAACCTGAGTTATAGTGATAGACCTGCAATGTTTTGTCACACCTACCAAACTTTCTACAGGGCACTGACAACCACAGTGCTTTGGAAGAGTGCAACAAAAATATTTCAAGTTCTTGACTGCTGTTCAGCAAGCCACAGGTTTCACATGATTCCCTCCCCAGTACAGACATTTAAAATTATCTTTTAGAGCTAGACTGAATCAAGGGTGAGTGGGGTATGTGGGGAAAAAGGTATGAGCAACAGCTGAAGATGCCAACTCACCTGAATGGATAAGCAAAAGCRGCTGTAACTGTTTCATTTTCCACTCCCTTACAGGAAACCAAAAGGGTAATTTCACCTTGAAAGCCTCCACACGTGGCAAAAGCAAAGATGGAAAAAATCTACAGAAACATATACAGAGCATTARTCCAAGAGCAGACCCTGATCTTCAGTTTTCTTCTGCTTTCTATAGACTTGTTATGGAGACTTTTCTTCAGGTTAACAGCCCACTAAGGAAAACTTAAGTCTTCCTTCTCCTAGGTGTTCTGGGATGTGAAGTAAGAGGCCTTCCATGCTGCATACAAGCAGCTTCAAAGTCATCCAAGAGGTTATATTCCAGCACTTAAGTCTAATCACACACATTCCCTTAATATTATCAAAGGGCAAGAACATGGAGCCTGGACATTTATCTCRCCCTCAACTAGAGCTACTACTTTCATTTCCAGGGGTAACAGCTAGATTTTAAACACTCCAGCAAAGCTCAAAGGGGACAAACCAGGCTTCTGGCTCAGGTARCTGGCAAAGACAAGGAGTAAGCAAAGGATGAGGCTAGCAGGGAAGCCTGGCMAAGGCTCCTCCTTGGGCCCAGGAGACTGCAACACACCAGCAAAGCCAAGCCCAGGCTCCTACCAGGCAGGACCTGCCGCAAGACCCAGGGACACCCCCAAGAAAGAGCACAAGGAGAAGCCCAGGGCTCCACTCACCCACTCRAGGACCTTGATGAAGCCCAGGGGCTCCAGGAGCAGCCCAAAATCCAGATGCAACCCCATCATCCTAGCAGAAACCCAAAGCCCAGAAACACCACAACAACCACCTGCCCCAGGCTGGTCTGAGGAGCCCTATAAAGGGGCAGGGGGGCTGAGTGGCAGCTCCTGGCCCTGCCCACACTGCCTGTGGCCATCTTGTGGTACAGCCCCCAGAGGGAACCTCGGGTGGTCCTCCCAGCACGGAGACGTGCATGGGACCTGCTGGYGCTGTCCTGGGGCTTGGCGGCCTGGCCAGGAAATGGCCCCGCACCCAGTGGGGTGTTACAAGGAGTAGCTGTGGCCATTTTGTGAAGGTCGGTAGTCCTGATAACAAAGTGACACAATCCTGACAGCAGAACTTAAAAACTTATTGTACACTGACAGTTTACAACAACCCTATTGACTACTTTTTTCTTTTTTTTTTTTTTTAAAAAAAAGTCTAAATAACTTGTGTTACTGTGCCCTGCAGCTGAGATGTTAATCTTCTTCAAAACCAAAGAGCTAAAACCCCCAAAGAAAAAGAAGCCATAGGCCTGTAAGAGAGGGACTATGTGGCTCAGGGGATCAGGGTTGGCAGAGGCCGTGAGCAAGCATGGCAGCTTCCAGGTGCTCATCATTCCCCTAGAGACTTCTGGGGTCATCGAGAGACTCCTGGGAAGGCTATGAGGAACACCAGGGTGTCTGGAGAGGGTGGCTCCTGGGAGCTGTGACTTCTAGAAAGCTCCAGTTGCTTCCAGTGAGCTCTGACAGCTGGTCCTGGGCCAYGGGAGCTTGGAGCTGTGTCCCAGCTGGCTGTTAACTGGGGAGGGTCAGCCACCAGTCCTGCAGGTGCTATGGAAAGACCTGTCCTATGGCTGGATAGGGCACAGCTTTCCGAAGGATGCACGGAAGGAGACCAGAGACTTTTCTCCAAGCAGCATCCACCTGCTGCCCCATAGTGACCGTGTGTCACAGGGCACTGTCCCCACCACAGCCTGCGACAGTCAGACTAAGGAGGACACAGCTCCGCAGGCCTGAGGTCACAGGGTTGCCTGAGTCCTCTCACTGAAGCTGAGGCCAGGGCAGTTGATCTCCTTGCATGCAGGAGGTGGATATTGGTGTCAGCAAGTAAAGGAGCTGCAGAAGGAAGTCAGTAGACTGTGTAGTCTTAGAGATGAGAGATTGACTTGGATCCTCTGCAACCCTGGAACTTCAGGAGTCCCAATCCCCAGCAATACAGAGGCAGGAACAGCAGAATCTGGGCTGGTCAGGGTGGGAAGTGGAAGCTCCCTGAAGACTCCAGTACAAGTTGTTTCAGATAGATTCCCAGGGCTTAAATGCCCACAAGGAAAAGCTTTCTCATCAAGCCTTTATAAAGGCCCTGGCTTTATAATGTGTATTAGCTGTGTGTCCCAGTGTTTTCCATTTTCTTCAGAGTTGCTTTCATCTCAGTAAAGACCAACATGAGTCCTGCAAATCTAGACAACATGGTTYGTTTCTCCTTCTGTATGGTATGGATATGCAGAGACAAGGTACTGGGAAGCCTGCTCAGCACAAAATGTGCGCTCTCTCACCCCACAGGAGGTGCAGGATGATCAGAATTTGCTCAACTCTCAGTGCCAGGCTGAACAGCTGTAGTTGAATTATTGTGCCAGCTTGCTGGAGGAAAGGTAGATGAAACTCCACTGTGAGGACTGGATTTGCCAATCAAATTATTTACAGGATATTGCAAACATAGAGCATTGCTGTGCAGGTGCTGTGACCTGAGAAAGTTGATCTCCGCTCTTGGGAGAAGGGAGCACTGCAAATGCCACATGGGATTTTCGTTTAATTTCAGCTCTGTTTCTAGAGTTGCCTCTGTGTCTCAGGCTTGGTGTATCCCAGCACTGAGCAGCTGTAGTAATTCGACTTTCCTGAGTTTGAAATACTTGTTGCTGTGACAGATATTACTACTGTGCATAAGTCATGGGAAGCAGTAACATCGTCAGAAACTGCCAGGTCAGGAAATACTTGTGAGGACGGTAGCAAAGTGTCAGTSTCTCAACTGGTGTGGGGCTGCACTGCTGCAAAACGTTGGCAACAGGGATAGGACACTCTCACACAATTTGCTTCTCATTTCAACGGGAAATGTCTACCTTAGCTTTCTGCACAACAAGCAAGAGGGGCACGGAGGCCTCCTGCTGCTGTGGCTCCTGGAAGCAGTCCAGCTTCAGAGCTGTGAAAAGCATGGTTCTTGTCCTTTCTTTCACTGCTGCATTGCAAATACAGCTGCTGCCCAGCACTGGTTCTCTTTATAACAGTGTCTATAAACTCTTTTCAAATCTGATGTAATTGGAGGTTTGCCAGCTTTATTATTAAGGTTGTGTTCTTACTATGCAACCTTGCTTTTAAAGCAAAACACAGAATAGTAACAAATTAATTACAACTGAAGGCTAGTTGGCATGTATATTAGAAACTCCCAAGACTATGTGTTTGTGGGTACAAAACACCCTTGGGACAGGGGCAAGGACCCCTCTGCGTGTGGAGCTTTCCTTGGCAGAGTGAGGCAGTCCTGCGAGGACAGAGCACTAGAGCCCACGGTGCCAAGCCAACCTGAATGGACAGGCATCCTCAAGCATCTTCTAAACCTGATTTCCAAATTGTCATATCGTCTTATTTCTGTCATAGCTGTAAAGCCTTCCCAAATGTGTGCARGCTTTCTAAGCAAAATAAAGATTTTCTGCTTCTCAAAGCAGCTACCAAAACTCTACATGTTGTCAGAAATCGTAGCAGGGTATCACAGGAGTGGGAGTGCCCAGGATAGCAAGGTCAACGCCACCGGTCTACAGAAGTGCACATGAAATTTGCAGTGAAGGTGATGAGATCTGTGATAATGTGGACCTGCTGCGTGTGGAYCTTTCTGTCCTGAGGAAGCTCTAGGTGCAACAGAGCCGTCCTTAGTGTTTCCAGGACACAGCTCTCTGTCCAAGCTTTCGTCCTGCAGCTTCAGGGATGTTTTATATATGCTGAGCACAGGCCRTCTGAGCACCTCTAAGACAAGGTAGAGACAACAAAATTTTATGTCACTGACTAATGTTGCAAGGGAAGAACATCAATCTATGATTTTCATGATGAAAAACCCATGATGTTAAACAGAAGAAGAGAACCACAGCAGATCTGTACAGGTCTGCTGGGGTCTTTCTCACAGGGATATGGCAGTGGCACAAGTCGAACACTGCTTAGTTTGGCCTGCACAGATTTTATAGCCTCGGAGTACATTGGGGAAGTCTCTAGGTGGATCTGACAGAGTTCTCATCATGTTTTTGTGTTCTTCATAGAGGTACTGGACTTAGTATAGATTTTGAAATGGCCCTCCAATCTAAGGGACTGTCATAGTTCAATGTCATTTCCCCTTGAATTAAATGTGCAGTAGCTGCATTCAAAAAGCCCTATGGGAGTCTATCTGTGCTGTCTGCTGGCCATGTATTACATACATGTCACAAGGAAAACAGTCCAGAAAAAGTGTTGTGGGTTCAAGCCACCCTGCTTAGCTTAACTGCCTTGAACAGACAGTTCCTTTTTAACTGAGTAAAGGAGTAAAGGACTAAAATCAAAGGAGTACAAATCAAGTTTTTGAAAAATGTCCAGAACAAGAGAAAAAGATGKAGAATCTGTTTGGCCATTGTCTCCACCATATGCTTCATGCTCAAAGAAAACTGTCCCATCTGTGCAAGTGGCATTTCAAGTCTTCTTTCTGTCTAAAAGAATCAAGTAATCCCTCCCTTTCAACCCCATCCATATGCAACACACCTTGCTATTGCTTCTTTCATATCTCCATCTTCCTTCCTCCCCATCTTTTACTTAAAACCCTATAAGCAATGCATTTCCTTGAAAATACAGATAGGCATTTGCCCGACTGCTCTCCACTTGTCAACTAGCTAAAAATATTTAATTACTTCAAGCATTCTTGTAAAGTGCTCTCAGCCCTTGACTGATTTTTTTGGAAAGTCTTTTCAGGTGTCAGATGTCTGGCAGGGAAGTGCTCTGAACTACCTGCACTCTTCTGGCTGCAGGCTCATTAATTCAAAATTGAAAAAGACTCTTAATTTTTCACTCYATATAATTTATCTCGCCACTGGGGTTAAAAGTATTTTGGAACATTTTTGCTAGTGGATTGCACTGCAATTCCACAAATTGCATCGCAAAGCGACGTCAGACATTTTAAATAGTACCAGGTGCTTCCACAGAGCCATTTTCATAAACTGAAACCAACTGAATTAAATCCCTGCAAGGAAGAATATAAGCAGGTAAACTGCTTAAGACCATTTTAATAAGTAAAAAAGACCACAGCATAAAAAGAGAGTTATTTTGCTTAGAAAACAGCTTGAATTGGAGAGAAATGGAAAGAAATATAAAAATATATATAACAAATGGAAGAAAAGAGAAGTAGCTAACAATGTGAATTAGAAGATAGGTGATTGCAGAAAAGTGATAAGAAAGAGAATAGAACGAAGAATGGTCTGCAGACTTGTGGACAATAGCAATGCATTTTTAAAACACAGGAGACAGAAAAGAGATTAACAAATCAAATAGACAGAAATTGTGGAAATGCCAATCCAGGAAAAGGTAGGAATGATCAATATTACCTTTTGTACTGGGAAAAAAAATGCGGGAAAGTCTTAGTATGCCACTAGTGTAATAAATCCTTTCCACTCCAGCAAGGCTCAGGAAAATGTTGAGTCATGGCTGCTAGAGGGTTTGTATCAGCAGATGTCGACCCCAGCAAGCCCAGTTTGGACAGGCCTAATGGAGGAGCTCTGTTGATCCTAACAGATCTATGGAGATCGTCTAGTCCATCCCCTGCTCAAGCAGGGTCACCTGGAGCGCCCAGGACCACGTGCAGGCAGCTTTTTGATAGCTCTGGCTATGGAGACCTGCAGCCTCCCTGGGCAACCTGTCTGGTTCAAATGACCTGGATGGTTATGGATCACGGAGAGTTCATTTTCTTGGGCTGGAAGAGCTGGGATGATGCAGCTTAGCGAAGTGAAGGATAACTGAAGAAACTACCCTTGTGCTGAAGTATGCCAGGGAATAGGGGCA